TTTTGCTGTAGTTGATAAGTCATTCTAAAGGGATGCAGCTGAATAACTGAAGCTCTTTTTCATAAAATTTGTTTCAGGTTTTCCAAGATCATAGTTGTTATTGTTACTTCTTAAATCATATCTGTCATTTATTTTAATTTTGAACATGTTGCAAATTGATGATGGCATTTTTTCGTTTCGTATTCTGTGCATAAAAATCGATTTATTGGTTTTATAGCATTGGTTTAAAGGTTGCCAGTCTAATTCTTTTAAAACATCCTCAGAACTAACTTCATAAGTTTTACCAGTGATGATTCGGGCCGCTCTGTTTTGTAATTTCTGAAGTCTGTTTTTTAAGTAATCACAACAGTTATCCCAAACCAAGCTACAATAATCAAAATGTGATAACACAATGGCATTATATATTTTTACTAAGGTTGATTTGGGAACAAACTGTTTTATTCGTCGCATCATTCCTATTCCTTTTGAAGCTTTTGTGACAATATTTTGGATTTGATGATTCCATAAAAGATGTTCATCAATAATTACGCCTAAAGTTTTTGATTTGTGAACCCGTTTAATGACTGACTCACCAAGCTCAATTTTAGGGTCCGTTAGTTTGAAATTCGTTGTCTTGAACCAATAATCATGTATTCAGTTTTATCTTTGTTAAGTGTAAGTTTGTTTGCAAGTAACCATTGGTGTATATTTTCTAAGTCCACGTTAATGCGTTCTTGTGTTCGTCATTATAAAGAACACACATGCAAAGAGATCAAAACAATGATCTAGAGAGTAGAGCAGAGGAGGTTGGACAGCAGGCCGCAAAGCATCATGGGTATTGAGCGCCTAATTCCGCGCGTGGCTTCATTGACTGTTGACTGTCGAGGAGTGAACATCTCTCTGACTAAACCAATATGGAAGCTTTCGAACGACAAGAGTGTCAGGCTGTGATACTTTGTGAAAAGAAACAGCATGTTATTGCTGTATTGTTGCAATCATCATTATGACTTGTGTTTTACTATATCAAGTTTACCTTTTTTAATTTAAATTGCATGGGATGTGCTGTCATTTTAGCTTTATAAATAATCCGTCTGAGAAAAGGAATTGTGTTTAATTTTATATTCCCAATAGCGAGGCTCTTCTTTCTAAGTTGGATGGCGTTAAATCTCCGTGTATCATCAACGTGAAAACAATCGCAGTATTTAAGGTTGGTATACTACAATGCATTACAGTTATCGTGTTATTTTATAGTCAAATTTCCGCTTTGTTGTTTTTATTCTTGTACTGTAATTTTATAAATACACTGTACAAAATTATGGCGTCATACTTGTGTTTATAATGCCTCTAATTTGACCCTATTGTGTGTGTATATGTACTGTGTCACTGTGATACATATGTACATGTTTTGAGTTAAACGAATTGTTTAATAAATTTTTGCTGAAGTATGATACCTGTTTGTATGGATTTTTACATATATGTGCACTGTGTATAGTTTATACATTGGTTCTCAGATGAGTCTGAAGGTATATTGTTATTCAGTTATTTGTATGTATTGTTTTATACATTTTGCTGAGTATGATGCCTGTTTGTATCTAGTTGTGGATGGTTGTGAGAATATAATTTTAGAGGTTACATGTTTGCTAATTTTAGAGATGATAATGTATCAAATAATAATTTTCTTGTTATGACTTTGTAGAAAGAGATTTACTTGAGTGGTTGGTTGGTCTTGAGCCTGTTCAGGATGGATATGATAATGAAAGAGGTGATCAAGGTGATAGGGCAGAAAGTGATGACGTTTAAGTGAGAAGATGAAAGTGATGAGGAGGAAATCGCCCACGCTGTAGCATTCAAGTGCATCGGTGATGCTCGTGAGAAAAACTACCAACATCATTTGGAAAATTAAATTAAGACATAATACCTCACTCTTCATGAACAAGATAAAACAGTGAACGTAAGAATATGGCCAGCACCATTGAATCCAAGGGACCCAAGTGCAATAGGCAATTCCGGCTTTTAGTTTATTTTATTAAAATTTTTCAGCATAATCAGCAATATGATACCTTACTGCCTGTTGCCCCCTGCACACATAAATTAAAAGCTGGAATTGCCTATTGACTAGACTATGGAACTGGATGACAACATGTTGGTTATATTGCTTTTCAACTATGCAAGTATTTGCACCCACTAATTGCTGCAGATGTTGTGGATGTTTATTGTCTATGTTCAGTGTATCAAGTATAGGGTTGACTTTTTTAATTAAAAAGGGTGGATTTTTTATTTCGGGGGGGGGGGCAAGCAGTACCACTGAGTGAGCTTTACAGGGGTTTGGCATTAGGTTAAAGACTTTTGAAGCAAAATTTTGGTGGGGTTGAACACTTTATAAGAGGGGTTAGAGAGATTCTAAGGGGGGGGGGGGTTAACCCATCCTAACCCCCCCCCCAGTAAATCCGCCCATGATTTAATCCAAAAATTTTCATAATGAAACCTGGTGAGTGGCGACTCAAGTGGTAGGAAAAAGCATGAGTGTATGTTGACAGATGTTTTTATATAATAAATAGCAATTAGCTATGTTTAGCAAGTTATTAGTGCATTTATTTCAATTGGCTAACTTTTTTGTTTTTTCCACCATTTTTAAACAAACCATATGTTATAAATGATATAACTAGGTATATCTAATTGAACCAATCTGTCATGTACACTAATGCAAATAAGACTAAGTACATAAATAACAACCTCGTACCCAGGGGAGAAAAGACTCTGGTAGATGCTGGTCACATGATCTGCTAAAATCTAGCAGATTTTTAATTAGCAATCCAAGATGAGGTCAATAAATATTTGATATTTGGATGATTTTTATATGTTAATTTATAATTTGCATTTTGTATATGATTGTCATAAAGAATTCAAGATAGTTAATTAGAAATCTGCTAGATTCTAGCAGATCATGTGACCAGCATCTACCAGGGTCTTTTCTCCCCAAGAGGAAGGACTCTGGGTACGAGGTCGCATAAATAACTGTAAAAATGTACTTTAGTAAATGAATAATTTATCCATACACTTGATCTACTTTGTGAATATTTTTTCCAATTAAAATTGATGCAACAATAAAACAAGAAGATGTCTATTTATATATTTATTAAATTGATCCAAGATGCCAACAATAACATGCTACTTAGGGAGTGGTCATTATTTATGGGGGGGGTGTGGTAAATGGGAGGGGGGGGCAAACAAAGTTTTACCCTTATAAATAGGGGGTCAAAAAAGTTTTAACACAGAGAAAGGGGGGGGGGTAAAAAAGTTTTTGAACTTAAATACCATGTCCAGAGTTTTGGTTTCTATAATCACAAATAGCAAAAAAGAAGACTCTGAAAATGCCATTTCCAATGATCTAGAGACTCAAAATTTTCAAAATTTCCCAGCTCTTGTGCCAACCATGGTAGTGCCTTAGTGGGAGTGGTGCCCACTAAGTTTAGCAAGCTTCCTACCCCCTGAGTGACCCAGTTGTGGTATTTACATAAACATACCATGCAAGTACACTTAACTGATCAGATTCGGTTTATCAAAGCACAATGTAACGCTGTATATCCAAAAATCTGTTTCAGAAAATGCTCACATTTCAGTCCTGGGGAAAAATACAAAAAAATTTTCCCCAGACCCCCCCTACTAATACATACAATACCACACCAAACTTTTTGTCACCAACAACCATCTGTCATCTCTCCACACTCAGTATAGTATGGTCCCTTTTTGTAGATGCCCACCCCCCAGACAAGTTCTTAAAAAAAGCCCTGTGTTCAAATCATTTCGCTGTATGACGACAGGCCATGGGTTAGGGTTATGGTAGGACAAATGTTGCATTGCAGTAGTAACACATAATATATATTTTTTAGTCATATATGGTTGAATCATATTCACCAGGGTAAAACATCATGAGCTAGATTTAAACAGATTGTCCTAATATCTAACTTTACCTGCAATGCACGCCTGTTTCATTGCTGTTAATTTTTCAATCCACACTGGGGGGGGGGGGCAGAAAAGTTTCTACTTTTAAGAGGGGGGAGGCACAAAAAGTTTGCCTTCAGTCTGGAGAGGAGGGGTCAACGAAGTTTTTAATCCTTATTTTCCCCATTTACCAACCCCCCTCCCCATAAATAATGACCACTCCCTTAATTTGTTTATATTAATTATATATGATACATATGATAATACAATAAAAACTTGTTTTATTGCTTTAAAACAAGTGGAGCTCTCTGATGGTTTGAAATGGGCTGTTATGACACTGATTTGTTCATGCTGAGGATTCCGTAGACTTTCCAAAGTCCTTTCCAGACCCCTCTATGGCGCGCTTCACTTCCTCTGTGGAAAGGACTTTTGTCACTTGCAGCGCGCCAAATATCACCGGTGGAAAAATCCACCGGTGACGTCATTGTTTATATTGAAGGCCGAAGCGGTTTACATTTATTGATCATTATCGAATGAGTCTAAAAATAACATATTCTCAGCTTTTTTGTTGAACAAACATTTATTATTGTACAGAGTAAACAATGTAAATACAATTTTGCAGAACACAAAAACCATGTGAAAATACACAAACGGCAAACATTACATTGACTATGAGTACATGCAGCCTACAGGGTGTAGAAATTAACTTTAATACTGTCACCGAAAATGCATGCATCTGATGATTCTAAAATTTCCTCACTAGTTTCAGGTTTAGTTTGGGTTTCTTGATCTCGATTACTGATTATTACAAATTCGTTTGTTGAGAAAACAGGATTTACTGGATTTTGAACTCTAGCGATGTCTTCTCGTATTAAATCTCGTTGATCACAATCGCCGCCTCTCTGCTTCTTGGTTACAGTTACCTGATTCTTTTCAATTAGATTCTACTACCGTAACGTTAAATCGCTCGCGAATTGAATCAACTTTTTTTAATAAGTCTAATAAATTACTATTCTTGTCGACACAATTACGGCACACATTGTTATTTGTTAGACAAAACAACTGTCTAAATTCAATAAGTTTTTACATGCACTTGTTTTTGTTGATACATTAACAGTTTTCGGCGCTTACTTGTCGAGTCAGTTATTTCGTTTCCACACTCGGTGCAAACTGTTTCATTCGAGGACAAAGAAATAGCAATTCTTGAGAATGTTTTTTTAGACTCATTGACGGCGCGCGGTGAAGTAATTGTATGAAATGTACACACCTATTTATATGTCAAAATTATTCGCGCCAAAATTTTTAATGCGATTTAAATTCCTGCAAGCGACACAAGTCGACCACTCGCGACTTCGTCGCTCGGGTCGCGCGCTCCCTCCCCCGCGCCCTCCCCTCCCCCCATGGTCGACTTGTGGCAAGTCTAAGGATTCCGTAGCTCGATTTGCCACAAAAACCCGTAGATATCTATGCAAAAACCCCAGGATCAGGCGAGGGATCAGGCGATCAGCTCGTCTTGAAATATGTACACGATCCAGTCGCGTCGGCCAAAGACAACAAAACTTTGAAAATCGCACAGATATAAATTCTACAAAAATATTAAAACAACTCCTAAGTCTTCTAAATAATATTTTAGCACTTTAACAAAAATTCATTGAAAATATCATCTTTGATGGCGTAAATTCTTTCCACGGTATTAGACGCCATTTTAGCGAACGTCGAGTTGACAGTAGTCACTTCAGCGGTCAATATCTCGAAAACTGCCGGGGGATCACCGGGATCATTCCAGCAGATTTAAAGCTTATATATTTTTCTTGACGACTACCAAAAATGAAGAAAATCGAACCATGGGAATTCTAGATATTTCATTTTAAACATCGTAAACATATTTAGACTTGAGTCAACACGTCGCGGGGAGTCGACTAACTTCAAACATCAAAATAACATTGAAAATAAAGTTTACCTGAGAGATTTTTGCAGATATCGCCAGATCTTTAGTAGTAGTACTACAACACTTGAGATTTTGCAAGAAAATTTTAATATTAATATTTTTTTCCGATTTATTTTCCGTCGAATGCAAATTTTTCTGTCCAAATTCTGCAGATAACACGATGGAAAATAGAGCGATCTCATTGGTCGAGAGCTCACGTGACAACTCGCTAATTAGCTGTCCAACCTCCTCTGTGGGCTAGGACCACTGAGCTATACTTATATATCTGGAGATCGTGCTCTCGACGAAAGTGTGTGGCCAAAAACATGGTGGATTTGACGTCACAATCGACCTATTTTCATGGGGGTTTCCACTGACCCCTGGCTCGAATGTTCGTGGGCGACAAAGTTCAACCCCCCCTGGATTTTACAGTGATTTTGTATGTTTATATTAGTTGATCGACAGAGTATATTTTTGATTTTCGTCCTTTTGAAAATACAGTATTATTCTAACTGCGCGTATAAATCAATAAAGACCGAAAGCCATTAATAAAAAAAGACATGAATGGAGCTTGACGGCCACAAGAACAAAGCATGTAAGTCATTGAAATGATTTATCAATTCTTGTTGTATTGTGAATTTGTGTTGCAACCATTGGTTGCAACTGAACTGACTATCAAGATTATTCTTTAAAACACGAGTATTATAACAATCCCCAGCAAGTAAAATTAAGCGAATATAGCTTGTTGAAAACCGTACTGCTATAAATTTCCCTGAGTGACAAAGGTTTTTTTAGAGATTTTAATACCAGTTTATTCTATTAGTAAATTGTGGGGAAAAGCAACTCTTTGGAATATAAAGCACTTATATCACCATTAAAGTTTTTTACACCTGTATGTATTCCGCTTTCAGGTATGAATTTATCAAGAAAATATGGGATATCTGTACTAAGTACCAGATGGCAATGAAGAAAGTCAAGTGTATTTCTTTATAATGGTCTTCCTTGTAAAAGGCAATGGCACTATTTCATTGAACATTCAAGGAACAATCACCTTTTAAAACAAATATGCACATTTTTATGCTCGAGTTACAATGTTTGATTTTGATATCTGTATTTTATGCGATTCATACCTTATTTTTAAGTGTTCCTCAAATATTGATTCAATACATTACCTCGGGCTGACCAATTCATTCCATCAAGATATTTGCTGTGTTGGTGTAATACTCAGGTGAATAAGATGCTTGTGTGATGTTACGTACTCTGAGTGGATATCCACACTGGGCAGGCTTGAAAAATATGCCTGGCCACAGTGGGATTTGAACCTACAACCTTTGGAATACTGGCCCAATGCTCTGCCAACTGAGCTATACAGTCGGGGCAGTTCGAGTATGCGATATTTCGGAACTGAGTCTAGTTCCTTCGATATCAGTGTAATCTAATAACCATGATATTTGTGAATATGATGCTTGTGTGATGTTACTCTGAGTGCATATCCACACTGGGCAAGCTTGAAAAATATGCCAAGCCACATTGGGATTCAAACCGACCTGACCGCGTAGCTCAGTTGACAGAGCATTGCCATTTGGGCTAGTATTCCAAAGGTCGTAGGTTCAAATCCCACTGTGGCCAGGCATATTTTTCAAGCCTGCCCGGTGTGGATATACACTCAGAGTAACATCACACAAGCATCTCATTTCATCACGTTCCTCCAGATATTCATACACTTCCTGTGAAAGAGCCAATTCCAAGTATTTAATCATTTCTGGTCACTTCCTTTCTATTTATGATTGGTTAGTTGCACAAACAACAAAGGTGATTGGTGCATTCAAACCATTTAACAGGAAGTTTACAATTATACTAGAAGTGTATGAATATCTTGAGGAACTTAATCAAATGAATTGGTTAGCCCAAGGTAATGTATTGAATCAATATTTGAGGAACACTTCAATTGGAACGACAGTGAAGAATTATTAACTTAAAAAAAATATTTTATTCAAAAAAAGATTTTCCAAGATAATTATATAATTACATTTAGTAATAAGAATAAATAATATATTCAATTTCAAATCACAACAAAATTTATTCTTTATTTTTAAACACATACAACACCAATTTAATTAAATAAACTGCTCAACCAATTCTATGCATGTCAATCCCTACTTGATGGTCAGCACCTACAGTTATTATGCTAGCCTAATTTGTACACTAACCCAAATGGTCAAAATAAATGTAAATGTAGCAATCTTGGCTTAGCTAAACAGACCAAAATGTGTACAAATAACTTAAAGTTGTTAGCAGAAAAATTAAGGAATAAATTTAACCCATTGAGTGGCGAAGCACCCTATTTTAGTATTTTACTCTGTCTAACGGCAGACAATTTTACTCGTCAAGGGGAGAGCACTGGCGCTTAATGGGTTAATTACCCCTCATGTACAGTATGGCCATTAATTGTACTGATAATAAACTGTAAAGATCACAACCAAGCTGACCAAAGCAATCATTAAAGATTGTTGGTACAGCATATGGCTTTAACACTGGTCTCTGTCTGTAATCCTCCTCAAAGATATCGGCACTAAAATGCTTTGAACACAAACGACTATTTTTCATAGGAACAAACTTCACTCTGGCATAAGTTTGCTTATATTCTTCACCCATATGCTGTGCAATTCAGGGAATCTCTTCTCATCTGGAAAGCTTTGAAGTAAATGAACAATTGTTTTTAGTGTCTAGTTAATACACTGTTCAATACGATACCTATAACTTACAATTATTATAAACAATGCCACACTAGACAACACATGGTTTAGTCCACAATAAAGACAATACAATGAGTGAAAGGCTTTGTACATTTAAAGTTAGTCGTATCTTTATCACATTGTTAAAATTCTCATTTGAATTTTTTTAACATTAAGCAGTGGAGTGGCAATCTGTTAGGATATCGATAAGATTTCATCACTGCATCACATCCATCAACTTGCATGAAAATAAATACTTGCTCAACAACAGCTCCACAAGCTTGTCAACATTTTAAAATTTTGTTCTGCTTTTGCACTGTAGTACACTAACATTGTATTGTATGTTGCTTGCCAATAAATTTCATGAATTCACAAATTTACGCATTCAATACAGCAATACAGCATTGCGTTAAATTATTAAAAAAAAGAGATTATACGAGCCTTACGCATGTGAGGACAGGTCCTTTCTTTCAGTAGATTTTTGGCAACCAGGAATTGAACAAAAAGTTGGCATGGTTGCAAATGTCTCGTTTCAATATAGAAATTTCCGACCGAAATTTTGAATTTACTTCCTTCTGTTTTAAGCAAATTGAAAGGGGGGTGTGAATAACTTTTTTCTTCACGTTAGCATTTTAGGTCAGTGGTGTTCACCATAAATTTAGGTCGATTGTGACGTCAAAATGACGTAAATTTGGCCAAAATCCGCCATGTTTTTGGCCACACATTTTTGACTGACGAGGTATTGGAGCACGATCTCCAGATATATTAAGTATAGCTCAGTGGGCATTCCCCCCTTGGACGTCCGCCATTTTGAATATTATCAGGGGGGTGAATGTCTCTCAAACGCGCACTGGCTAGGACCATGGCGTCAGCATTTGATGACGAATTACGGTTACGCCAAAATCATAGGACAATCATAGGAAAAACAAAGAAGTCGACCTTCTGTGTACCTTATTCTGTGATGGGGGAAGTGAGTGGTTGTCTCACTGATCTCAAAATATGGCGGATTACCAGGGGTGGAATAAGCCAACTGCTAAGATTTAATTTCAGTGTAAAAGAATGAAAACATATGAAAAAGTCGTTTCATACAATGAGCTGTAAAGCGATTTTTTAAAATTTTACTCTAAAGAAATGACAAGAAGAGATGTACTTTATTCTAAAGAAATGACAAGAAGAGGTGTACGTTGTTTTCGGGTTTTCCACTTGCCTCCTAAATTGCTCTATTTTATTAAAAAAGCTTATAGAATTAAAAAAACTAATTTATGACTGTATGATTGAACTGATTTCGTTGCAAATAATAAAACGACCAAGTTAAATAGTTCATTTAATCGGCAAAAACTGCCAAACAATTGAAACAGTATATATAATATAAAGTTACAGCAAATGAACATTTTGTGAAGTGTTCAAAGTTGAATATTTATCTTGAATTCAAGCTTATAGAGTGGAAAATAACATACCTATTTTATATATTTTAGAAATTTATAGTTCGAAGGATAAAAGAGTTAAACTTTTTTTTTCGTTTTGCGTGTTGGTGTTGTGTACTCAGGTAAACATGATATTTGTGATGTTACTCTGAGAGTATATCCACACTGGGCGAGCTTGAAAAATATGCCCGGCCACGGTGGGATTCGAACCTACGACCTTTGGAATACTCGCCCAATGCTCTTCCTACTGAGCTACCTGGTCAGGACGGTTCGAGTAAGTGATATTTCAGAACAGAATCTAGTTCCTTCGATACCAATGTATTCTAGTAATATGATTTTTTTTGCGTGTTGGTGTTGTGTACTCAGGTGAATATGATATTTGTGATGTTACTCTGAGTGTATATCGACACCGGGCGAGCTTGAAAAATATGCCCGGCCACGGTGGGATTCGAACGTACGACCTTTGCAATACTAGCCCAATGCTCGTCCAACTGAGCTACGTGGTCAGGACGGTTCGAGTAAGTGATATTTCAGAACAGAATCTAGTTCCTTCGATACCAATGTATTCTAGTAATATGATTTTTTTTTGTGTTGGTGTTATGTACTCAGGTTAATATGATATTTGTGATGTTACTCTGAGAGTATATCCACACCGGGCGAGCTTGAAAAATATGCCCGGCCACGGTGGGATTCGAACCTACGATGACCTTTGGAATACTAGCCCAAATCATATTACTATAGAATACATTGGTATCGAAGGAACTAGATTCTGTTCTGAAATATCACTTACTCGAACCGTCCTGACCACGTAGCTCAGTTAGAAGAGCATTGGGCTAGTATTCCAAAGGTCGTAGGTTCGAATCCCACCGTGGCCGGGCATATTTTTCAAGCTCGCCCGGTGTCGATATACACTCAGAGTAACATCACAAATATCATATTCACCTGTGTACACAACACCAACACAAAAAAAATCATATTACTAGAATACATTGGTATCGAAGGAACTAGATTCTGTTCTGAAGTATCACTTACTCGAACCGTCCTGACCACGTAGCTCAGTTGGAAGAGCATTGGGCTAGTATTCCGAAGGTCGTAGGTTCGAATACCACCGTGGCCGAGCATATATTTCAAGCTCGCCCGGTGATCAGAGTTAAACTTCATTAATATTTTTTTCCGTTTTGCACAAAAATGAAACTGAAATGAAAAACAATGATCGTGCATTCGTGTTGTCATGGTTAACATGATGCGAGCAACGCGAGCCTGCGTTCAGTGGTAGCGTAATGTAGAACTGATACTTCATGTTAAAAAAATGTTTAGGACAATAAAGGCGAGGGGTTTCCAGTGCATGCATGTATTTCTAGTACTTTTGCACAACACGGCAACAATAGTTGAAAAATTATTGCTTTTAACTATATAACAATGAATTTCCGAGGTATATACTGTAGGTATGCTGTTCTGGATTTTGTGAGCTTTGATTTAATGTAAAATTTAACCTGAATCACTTCGCAAGATGTTTTGAAATGTTCATTTTAAGAACTAATAAAACTGTTTTTGCCGATAAACTGATTTTTTATTTCAAGACCAAACTTTCAATTTTCTTCAAATTAATTTGCTCTCCTTTGGCTTTACATTTTACCTTTTTTCTTAAATTAAACTGGGTAACTTAGGAAACTTACAGTTTCATTGAAAAGGAAAGCAGTGCATGTTTTTTACGCAATAAATTAAACAACAAAATTCATAAACATTGAACATTCAAAGCAAACTTGCCCTATATTTCACTGATTTCCATAGTAAACTGAATTCTTCTCATTTCTTCAAACAAAAATTGCTTCAAAGCTCATTGTGTGAAACGTGATTTTCCAAATATATGCTTTAGAAAATTGAAAAATCTTGCTTATTTTTGTGATCAGTGACTGGAGGTCCACCCATGAACCATAGTCACGCGCCTGCGATCATTGATGAACTTTAAACTTCGCTAATGCTTTCCTTTCACCGGATGTAAATAGCCGAGCGGAATTAGTACCCTCGCCCCGGACTAACGCCGGGAACGGCGCTCCGCGCCGTTGGCTTGGGGATTAAGAAGGCATGCACGCATATAAAATATTTCAAGCATATATACGTACGTAATTAAGTTGCATTTCACCATTTTTCAAAACTGACTTTTGATCCTTTTTACTACTAAAATTACTTTTAGAAAATTTTTTTTTTAAGTGTTGGCTAGCTTTTACTGATAAAAATTCCCTTCAACTATGGAAGATTTCGTCTGGGCCTGTTTTATTAAAAAATAATATATAAACATTATCAGACATACAAAATAAAGTTAGAAATCCGCCATTTCATCTCCTACCGTCACGCGTATACAGCAGACACCACTATTAATAAGGCAAGTCGTCCATATTGTTGGGATAATACCTTTAAACTGATCGGTATTTGCAACATCGCAGGAATAAAATAGCGCGAATCCCTTGCCAAATTCTTCATCAAGTTCTGTTTGAACATTTTTACCCTCTATTGTATCAACATCCAGAAAATATACCTGTTTAGATATACAAATGCAAAGTTTAGAGTGGAAATAAAGCGCTATAGCAATACACAATATCTTTACCGTTTCTTTCATTTTCGATTCTGTCAGCGCTAGCATGCGCAGGCTTGGGAAACAACATCAATCGCTTATGGAAACATTGTTCCCAAAGGATCTTTTACATTCATCGCAAGACTCAACTCGTAAGCTTGCTGGGAGTACTCAGTTCATCCAATCACAATGCTCAACAGTTTATTTTAATCAGATGCACTCGCAGCGATGAGTGGAAAAGAGCCTTTAGCCATAATTATGTTTCCAGAAGGTACAAGCAACGAAGATATGAACGTTTCCCGACAACAAAACTCACACTTGGGAAACAAAATAGGCTACGTTCTTCAGTTTGTTTTGAAACACTATTATCCCTGTCAAGATAGTTAGTTTACGGGAAATCATTAGAAACAAGAAGAGAAGAAGCCAGATTGACATTATTATATACAAGCTGTCTCATAATCTGGTCAATATCTCAACTGATGAATATATACAACTAAGCAGCGAAACAAGAACACGTGGAAGCCACGCTTACAAATACATTAAGGCGCACCTAAAGTAAAGAAAGATGTCATTAAATATTATTTCATTTCTTCCCACTCTCAATCAAAGATTGGAATTCCCTGCCGAGTGAAGTAGTCTGTTCAGACTCGTTAGATGTTTTTATTAAAAGCAAATTAAATACCATTTTTAAATAAACTTTAACTAACATTTTAATTGAAACGTACAGAGTTTTGAGACTTTAGAAAACGCATAGTAATTTTAGGCTTCTATATTTACTTAATATTGTATGTGTTTTAATAGTTGGCTTGATGTCAAATTAATTTACCGACTTAAATTTCCATGATGTTGAATTGTTGTATAGCTATACTGTATATATACTGCTGAATTTGCATTAGAAATTGTAACTGCGTGCTATTGTTATAAATTATAATATTCGGTCTTAATTAAATATTTACCTTTGCTTTGTTCTGCAACAAAGCTTTAGTGATAGCTTTTCCAATTCCTCTGGCTCCACCAGTCACAACTGCTGTACAACCTTCTAACTTCATGGTTTCCGAACTTTGAAAAGAGGGAAAATTGCATAAGCTTTAGAAATATCTGCATGGTATTTTACGAAAACAAACCGTTTACAAATTAACTTCCATGCACATATTATTAACTGAAATTTTGTGTAAAATATACAGGGTGTCTCAAAAAAAAACGCTATGGAAATTCACTACAGGCTGTTGTGCATCATAAACTTAGCTTAACAATTCAATTTTTACATAGGACGAAAGAGCTGTTATTTAGCTTTTCTATGATACCTTTTTTAAATCGTAACGATGAGAAATGGCCACATACTCGTCAAATAAAAATTGCCGATCGAAATCACATTCGATTCTTCCACCGTTGGGATTGCATGGAAAATGAAACATAGACATAGCTTTTTTAAACACCCTGTATAGTCAATCTGGATGCAATTCATTTGTGAATTCGCTTCAGAACTTGAACGCAGAAATTCAGTGCTGGAGAATGAAAAACATGAGCAGGACTACCAAACCCCCTATTTCTTCGGCAACTTAGTAGTACAATAGTAATCAATCAGAAAATTAAAAGCTCTGTTACAATTATGATCACACTTATCACACTGAATTCGTCAGGTGATAAATTTTTAATTAGCACTGAGGTTCAAATTTCAAGAAAACCTCTAACACCCCCTCTCCTATACTCCGGATGCTTCGCTTAGTTCGCAACGTCCCTCGCACGTCTATAGCATGATATCAGATTTTTTACCTAATTAAATAATAAACTGATATGCTATATACCAACTAATATAGTCGAAAGCGTCAGTTTACAGAGTTATACTGTCATGCACCATGTAGGATCGGAAATAAACTATATAAGCCTGCATGGAACTCTATAGTTGGCCTAGACAGAAAGTGCTAGAAGTCGATTCCTCTATAATCTATAGTAAAAAGTTTTATAGGTTTTTCAAGGCTTAAATATGTACCAATTAAGCCACTACAAAGAAGAACGAACTTACTTTTCTTGTTATACAGTTACTGTGCAAAATCCAAATCTAATGCCCTTAAAATATCATCAAAGATCATCATTTGCTGTGGACTTACTTGGTAATTATTAGTGACTGGTACACCACTGATTTGAAAACTAAGACACACTGGTACCAGCACAGGGTACACAACTGAATGACCTATACGGCGGCAACATAAATTTTGTTTTGACAAGTGTCAAATTGTATTTATAACTGAAGTTGGTATTTGTCCGGCAAGGAATGAGAAATGGCGCTAAAGACTGAGATATTTCTAATTATTTCTATAGGAAAATGTTGTGAAGTGCAAAATATGCCTCCTCCACCGGCACCATTTTCTTAACGGAAAATTCTTAAAAATTTTCAGTCCTAACTGATTTATAGTGCCACTTATTCCGACCCGTATCAAATATTTTTAACTGAAACTTTTACTAACACGGAAGTACTCAATTGTGACATATGGCAGGTTTAATTTTAGTCGATAAATAACGGCGCGGAGTAGTGTAAGATTAAAAAAAATTGATGCCTTCTTTGAAACGTAAGATGAGACATAAGAACTGCTTTCGCTTCGATTGCTGCGTGCATGTGATTTAGTTGGCCCACTTCATAACTCCATTCATGGGCGTACCGGAAGGAAAAAAATAGGTGGGCGGAAAGAAAATTGCCCGACTTTTCGTAAAATTTCCCGACTAGTACCGAAAAATTTTTCCCGGAAAAATTATTTGGGCGACCTCCCTCCCCCCCCCCCGTCGCCAAAAAAATTTCGGTCAGTGTACCATTTAAGGGGTCAAAAAAATTTTCTGGACATACAAAAAATTTTCGGAACATCACATAATTGACTAAATTTTCGAAAAAATTGACAGAATTTGTCCGATTTATTTTTATAACAAACCAAAATTGCCCGACTGTTAATCGAATATTGCCCGACTGCCTATGACTCCATTGGGTATAGATGTTGAAGTGGTCTTTCCTTTCTTCCACTATTAGTACGGCTCCTCGAACCACTCCGTCCTTTCCACTGATCAATTTCACAACTATTTTCCACAGTCTTCTGTTCTTTTCTTCACCTTGTAGAAGCATAATGACCATCGGTTCCATCCTTACACCATAAATAATTTACATCTTAATCATTGCTTTGACTTCGTATTGTTCTTCTGGCTCTTCCTAGCTCAAGTAGGCTGATGTTAGCACCATGGGTCATTCCATTTGGAGTCAAATGTTGAAGTTGAAAAATGATATCATCTTCAAGGTATCCCAACGGTCGGTTGTTCAAGATTATTTCAACTTCTAAAGTACATCTTTCGGTTGCTTCATTGATGGTATATACGATTTGCATTTCAAATGGTTTTCTGAACGCGTTTTTCATCAGCTCAACCATACGCTCGAAATATCCATCGCACCATGCACTCCTTGCAAGATTAAACTACTGATGAATTTCACGCCGAGCGAGGTACTTGAGTTTTCGTAACCACTTTGCCATGGGGTCAAACGTTTCGCGTTGCCACTAAGACGTTAATGAATGCCATAAACTGCCAGCACCTGGCCTGTGTCAAGCAACACTCTGAATTTCTCTCTCCCCGTCCTTGCTCTGACAACAATGGTCTGGAGTGTGGTTTTCTTGGTTGCACCAATTATGTAATGGGAAAGAAGCTCTTCTTTTACTGTGCATATTGTGTATGGTGCTTGCCACTACATTACAATTTGCCGTCCCATATCGTGAGTCCATATGATTGTAATAAAGTTTGTTCTTTCTTAGAATTTCTCTCCTCTCACCCATGCACATCTTTCATTTTGTCAAACAAAAAGTTTGTAAAGATATTTCAGTGGCATAGCTTATTTTATTAACACGTTCCTTCATTTCGCTTAATATACGTTCAAGAAAAAATGAAAATAACATGGTAACAAGATATTTCTTGTTTTAAGATATATTTTCTCGCGGAGTTTTCTGAAGAAACATTTTCTCAGTATTGTCCCAAGCCAAATTTTCTTATTTGAAAAAAATATATACATATATACATATACATATACATGGGGCCGACGAAAATTATAGGTCTGGATTGATTTTACACGCCGTGTTATAAAACTTTTTACAAAATAATTTTTAAAAGATAAACGTTCAGAAACACATGCAAGCGAAGTTAATCCTTAATGCGAGTGACTACTTCTTCTTCTTCATAAAACATGCATAACACAGCTAAATTTCCCCCATCTTATGGTGAAAATTGTTAAGGGTGGATAGTAGCGAAGTAGTTGTAGACAAAGTCGCTACTGTAACGAGCTGCATTTCAAGTAGTGAGTGCTAGTTTTGACTACTAGTACTTTTTAAAATAGTATGGCAGTAGCTGTAGCGAAATACATTTTTCAGTAGCGAAGTATAGTTGATTACTTTTCAAGCAACAATCGCTATTACAAATGTGGAGACATAAACAGAATATGGTATCACACCAAATTTCACCATACCAGAACATGCAAATTATTTGTCCTCTTAGTCCATGGCAACCAGCCATACAATCGTAAAATCCCTGCGCGGTCCCTGAAGTTGAAGTGCAAACTGAATGAAAGACTGACGAATTCAACAACGAAAAAGCAAAGCAAACTTAGCAAAGGTCAATGCATGCGAAGGGCTTTCACTTTGATAAGGATCCAAACGATGTCTTATAGTGGGTTGAAAACATAAGACTATAATGAGTGTTTTGGTTGACCTGTGTTTACAGTCAAAATAAAGAAGTGTCCCATTTCCGCTACTGTATTCTGTTGTCATTTACTAATCTATAGTTCTGTTGTTCTGTTGCGGTTATACATCGATTTATTGGCAAATACCGCGATAAAATTGTAAGTTAGTTCTGTTGTTCTGTTGCGGTTATACATCGATTTATTGGCAAATACCGCGATAAAATTGTAAGTTAGAGAACTTACAATTTTATCGCGGTATTTGCCAATAAATCGATGTATAACCGCAACAGAACAACAGAACTATAGATTAGTAAATGACAACAGAATACAGTAGCGGAAATGGGACACTTCTTTATTTTGACTGTAAACACAGGTCAACCAAAACACTCATTATAGTCTTATGTTTTCAACCCACTATAAGACATCGTTTGGATCCTTATCAAAGTGAAAGCCCTTCGCATGCATTGACCTTTTTTTCGAGATAACCTTTTGGAAAGGATGAAATTTTCGTTACATTACGTTCAACACATAAAAGTTGCGAAATTTATTTTTATCGCGGCATATATTCGCCGATAAATCGGTGGCAGCTACAGAAGGTATAATTATATATTATACTATTATGTAATTGCGGTGCCCAAAGTTTGGCACCGAATTATATTCTGCCTGTGAGTTTGTCCGTTTGTTTGTTAGTTTGTTTGTTAGTTTGTTTGTTAGTTTGTTAGTTGGTTCGCATCAATACGTTTCCTTAATCGCCTAGTAAAAATTCCTTGCACGTGCTCGAAATTTATTCATTTTTGCAGGAAAATTAATTTATCTTGTACTCTCAGGATCGACTGTTTGCTAGGCTTTATCTCTAGTTTTATCGGCCAAACAAGGACAACAATACCACTGTTCGAATCAGCGTGAAAAGTTGTATTTATGGATGGAAAATTGATTTCAATATTGATTTCTATTCTAGCGATTTATGGTCTTTTAAAGACAAGCCGCTCTGAAATACTCCTTCACGTTTTCCGAATGCCTTTTTTCGAGGAAAGTTTTCTTTTCTATTTTAATCTCGGACTCTCACGATAGACCTTTTGCGCTTTATCTCTGGTTTTATGCGCCCAATAAGGACAAAAATACCACCGTTCGATTCAGCGTAAGAAATTGTACTTAAGGATGTCAAATATATTACTAAACAACAGAATTCTAGCGATTTATGGCCTTTGAAAGTCAAGCGAGATTGCATTGTCGACAAATCGCTCAAAATTATTAAACTAATTAAAAATGCAGTACGTTCGATTCTTGATAACTTTCGTATCGTTGGTTTTCTCGTTTTTGGCCGTATACCAGTGGATTCGTCTCATT